AAAAAAAAAAAAGAATATTCGAAGCCCAGAGCGGTTAAAGCATTATGTAGCTAACCCAGGTTTTGAACCCTAGTTGTATGATAATATGATGTCTTTCCTGGAAAACAAAAAACACATGATAAGTATGTCGTCTTTTGTGTACAACTTCTCATGTAGAAGAGTTTTGGCCGAAACAGTTTATCAATAAATACATTTTTCCAGAAGATAATGACCTGGTAATAATTATGTATTCAATCTGTAAATTGGTTAACAGGGAGACTTTCAGGAAGTTCCAATTCCATAAATAGAACAAGAAGAAGATTCGAAAATCTAAACGTATGTGTTTGTTTTGTTGAATTCCATGAAAATGGAAGGATAGAAATTCACATAATGCAGAGCTATCACATAACTAGTCAAGTTTTTCAGTGTTGAAGATGGGCAAACGAAACATGATAAGTGGTGACATATAGAAGTTTCAAGCTTTGAGAAGATAATGAACTATACGTTGTTGTTCAAACCACAGTGTTTGAAAGCTAATTTTAAAACACACAAAACATATTTCTTATTCTATCTTCTTTCACAAAAAGGGTCGAAAAGGAAGTAACAGGACAAGCTCCATGTAAACCTTCGTAACGGATTTGCAGCCAATTTTCACATTCTTGTGGCTCTAAAAAATTCAGGCAAATCCAGCTACTGATCATCCCAAGCAACCTTGGACAAAATTATGTTATCTGTCAACCATACACAGAGAAAAAAAGAAATGCCCAAATTCCACATGGCCTTGCAAACCCTAAACCCCACAATCAGGAAACGGCATTAATCGCTTCGCTTATAAATATCCCCCAATATATAAATCGCAACTCTTCACCATTTTCTTCCATCAAAGCAACAATAATCAAACAAACCCTTCAGCATTTACCAAAAACAAATCAATCTCAAGCAAAAATTCATGGCGATTAGCCCAGAGAAGCTCATCAAATTGGCGAGAAAATGGCGGGAACTAGCAAGCTCGAGGAAGAAAACGTTTTTCATACCCAGGAAAATTAGGTAATGATTCTCGTTCATCGTACCTTAGATAATGTCGATGGAGGCCATTTAATCACCTACACTAGCGACAGTGCGATTCTTGTTCCCCATAGCTTCTCACCGGCTTGATTTTCCGAGAGGTAATGATTCAGACCGCCAATCGACGGACCAATCGAATTGCCTAGCGACTCGCAGTTCATAAGTAACGTAGATTTTTTGACACGAAACAAGGCGAAAATCTTTGACTCCCGGGAGGCCACCACAAAAAGGACTCTGGAGCAAAAATGAAACTTCATCCACATGCGAAAATCTTACAACAAGTAATGAGGCCAAGGAGAAGAAAGGAATCTTAGAACTGATGAAGGAGAAGTTGCCCGGACACCACAAGAACAACAAAAATGAGGACCTTAAGAAGATCAATTAATTAGCCAGAAAAGTCACTTGCTAATCATCTAAGTATGATTTTCTAGGAAGTTGTGTTTTTTTTCCCCTAAGTCGTGATCACCAATCATTCAAATGTTTAGCATGAGCTAGTTTTAGTTTTTATCGTCTCTGTTTCAATTCCACAGCCATTTTGGCTTGAAAATCCTCATGATTCAATCATTCGAAGCATCTTCAGCATTCTATAACAATGGAAAATCTTACAGATGGGATTGAAAAGTTCATGCCATTGGAATAAAACTCTAGATTTTCTCCTTTCCAATAAAAATACACCACCCCTTGTTAACATAGAAAAATGAATGATTCAAGATCGCGAACAAATTAAGTTTCCATAAGATAAATGCAGTTTATCTTGTTACAAAAACAAATTTGTTAAAGCATATACAGAGAGTTCATCAATTTCCAGTTGAAACTACTAATAAACATATCACATACTTCAGAAATCAATAAAAAAGTAAAGCATGAAACTTTTGCCACCACTTTAAAACAAACATTATAGGAAAATTCAGCTGGAAAATTCAAACCAACTGATTAATCAAGATCGTCCACCGGTCCCTCTGTAGCCGAAATGCGGCTCGTTTTCATGTCGAAACAAAACCAAGTATCGGCCCTCTCGTACGTGAAGTACACGCAGTTTTCCTCCCTATTGCGCCCAAATAAACTCGCCGTCGAGCCCCCCAAGCAACATTTGTCCTCCACGAAAAACACGGTATCATCCGGAAGCTTCTCCACTCTCTTCCAACACAGACTAGACTCATCCAGCCCGAAAACCTCCACGTCATCCACCACATCCACGGAAGCCCTCGACAGCAAAAACACCAAAAAGATTCCACCTTTGTACAAGAACAAATGCTCCCTAAAGTGCCGGCATGCCTTACTAGGAACAGCTCGGTTTTTTCCCAAACGGGTAATTTCGTAATCCTTCGAACCATCCCTGTCCTCGATAACTGCAAGGCTCCCCTGCCGGCTAATGGCGTAGAATTTCCCTTGGAGCCCGATCAGGTTCGTGAACTCCATGTACTGATGATCGGTTGTCGAGCAAGGCTCGATAACCATGCAGTTCTTCATTATCCACACATAGTGCGTGCGAAAGCAGAATTCGCTGAGGTAATGTTTTTCGACTTTGCTACAGAACGCGAAAGCCGGTGAAGTAAGGCCGGTTATGACGAATCGGGTACCGCCGGACATCAGGCTGCGTCTGAAGTGTACACTGCTGTCCCTGCGCATACTGTTATAGTCCGGACAATAGCCCCAGAGAAGAAATTTATCGCTAGAATACAATGTCGCTTGGCGTCGATGGAAAAAACCCTTCAGGTTGTATTTTCCGGGAACGTCGGTTGTTCGGATTTCGGGAGGGATGTCAATTAGGGCAAGCTGAGGCCACGAATGTTTACGCGACGGCTGATTAAGGTTGCAATAGGAGGAAGATGGGACTACCCATGACTTGGTGACCACGCCGGTTCCCGATTCGTTGACACGTATAATATCCCGCTGTCGCCAGTCCCTCTTACCGACGGTGATTGGGAGGCTGGGCCATTCGAATTCCGGCTTGACGTCCCGTCGGCCGGCGGCGGCAGCCTTTTTCGGGGATGATTTTTTATATTTCTTCATCATCTTCTTGTCCCCCATTTGCCTTGTTCCTGCTCGAAAACAGAGGTCGGATCAAGAAACAAGAACAGGAAAAATTTCAAGATATGAAGGGCAGCTGAAGGAAATTATGATGTTCCTTTGTTGTGCTTGATTGTGATGTATCGATAGAAAAGGAGGGTTTTTAATGGGGATTTTTCGCGTGGCATCCAAGCAAAATCCTTTTGAAGGACGAACTTTTCTTTCTTGGCCTTTAATCGGGCTAAATTGAAGAGTTTGGTCGACTGACTTGCCCAACAAGGGAGCTGTGTGGACTAATTTAATGGTTTTGCAATTTTGACCCATAATAATTGGTTTCCACTTGAAATTTTGAAAATTGGGGATTTTGGCTTTCCTTTTTTTTTTTTTTTTTTCTTTTTTACTTTTGCCATATAGATATAATTGTAGTGAGTTGTTTTGGTCATAGTTTTAAAACATATACCGGTAATTGACCCAATGTTGACACCAGAGTCAGGCGATCGTGTATCGGGACTCGATTTTGTGTAATAACTAATAACACACGCTAACGCTCTTGATACGAACAAGATAATTTTGTGAAGACCTGCACTATGGCCGTCGGTTTAACATGAGGATTTGCACTCGAAAACGAACCTTTTTTATTACTTATTTCATAATTCTCCCAAATGAAAGTTCAACGTTTTAAAGCCACAAATACACACGAACACACAAGACCCTGAAATTTGAAAATAAAATTGATTGCTAAGTTGCAAACTAAGAGAAATTGTTGCCTTTCAAGGCCCGTGGCTGCGCGAAACTTCGCGCACCCCTGGTCTATATCGGCTCGTGAAGCAACTGGTCTCACAGCATGCCCACGTCTCACGGCGTGAGGTTCTGGAGGTTCTCTGGTCTTCGTTGCGGCTCTTCGTCCTCGTGCGTGCTCGGTTCGCATCATTTATGCTCCCTCATGAATATCATTGTCCTCAAGGATACAGTTCTCCTTGCCTCCTCATTCTTGCTCATTTTTGTATTGCTCACTCATGATTCTCCACGACTTTCGTTATATTTCTCCAACTGATACGGGACTACGCCTCACTTACACGATCTTGCTCTGCTATCGTCACCCTTCTGATCTGCCGTGACCAATCCTCCGCTACTTGATTCAATTTACGAACTACCGGACCCTTGATTTTGTCAAATCGATGCGACCACACATTCTCACGGCCCTTGTCACCGTGAAATACAATCCATCTGAACCACGCTTCGTGTACACGACATTGTGACACCAAATCATCAGAAACAAGTTCAACCTTCGTTGTTACCAAACCTTCTTCTTCTTCCGCCACGTTCAATAATGAAAAAGGATCATCACATTCATCTGTCTCATGGGTTTCGTCATCAAAATGAGGTGGACCGTCATACTCGGTCGACTCTTGTTCCTCCAAAAAATTGCCAGTTTCTCAACTTCCGCAAATCATGGGAATCACAAAATGGAATGATGATGCCCTTTGCCGATCGTCGGCAAACCGGCGCTCATCCCGCTGGTTCGACCCCATCGATCGGTTGTCTCTGCCATCTAGTAATTTTGGTCCCTTCTCGAATTCGTTGAGTCCGTTTGGCGGCAAATTTGAATTTTTCCATGGCGTGTTTGACGAATAATTTGGTTCCCCTCTTCGTGTGCGTCTAAAGATCCTTTGGAGCAACTCCCTTTTGATTCGCGTGACGACGAATTTCGTCGATGGTACATTCTTGTTAAATGAACGTACATTCTCCACCAAACTATATATTCTCTCTCGGTTGGACATGGTGATACACGATCAGTTCTCTCAATGAAAGCATCAATGTTGCGATCATGTATAGGGACTCGATTTTGTGTAAGGACCGTGCTAACTGTCTTGGTTCAAATACGATAATTTTGTGAAAAACCCGCTCTAAGTCCGTCAGTTTAACACGAGGACCTGCGCTCGAGAACGAGCCTTTTCTTATTACTTATTTCATAATTCTTCCCAATGAAAGTTCAGCCTCTCAAAGCCACAAATACACACGAAAATACACCACACAAAACCCTAAAATTTGAAAATAAAACTGATGAAAACTTGCTAAAAGGAACTGATAAAAGAAAGGGTAAAAAACTTTTTCTCATCTGAACTATAACGAATTTTGCGCATCGCATATAAACTATTTTTTTTTACAAACCACCACCTGAAGTATACGGGTTTTCCAAATTTCCCCTAAACCGGACCTAAAAGAGGTTTTAACTAAAAAAAAGCTGATTCATAAGGGTATTTCTGTAATTTCATATATGTTAAAAAAAAAAGAAAAATGAAGAAGCTGGTTTAAAAAAAAAATCAGATTGTGCCGAAGAATTTTTCCCGAGCTGCGTCGGCACCAAGGTCGACAAATTCAAGGTCTCTCACCTGCGGCGGCACCAACGATGACAAGTCGTCACCGAGCTGGGGACATGTTGTCGTTCGGCGTTATGGTAAGGTCCTGCCAGAAGTGCGACCAGTGCTCCAACAACCTCGAGAACTACTGCAAGGAGAAGCTGGACACGTACAATGGCGCCAAGCTCGATGGCTCTCTCACCTACGGCGGTTACTCCGACCTGATAGTGGTCGTCCAGGACTTAATTTATCATCCGGTGGCCAGAGAATTTGCCCATGGATCGTGGTGCGCCCGTCGGTGGCCGGAGAATTTTCCCGTGGACAAGTTGGGCCTCACTGTGGGTGTGGTCGGGCTGGCAGGGCTTGTCCACGTGGTCGTGATTGACATCTCGCATGAGGAAGATGATTGGCCACATGGAAAACAGGTGGTGGTGGGGCTGCCGGTGAAGTCGCTGGAGTAGCCCATGTTTGCGTTGGCCACACAGAGGAAGATGATTGGTGGGAGCATGATCATCGGGTCGGGATCAAAGAGACGCAGGAGATGATCAACTTTGACAAACCTTTCCATCATTTTAGTTTTTTTTATATATATTTTTAAACCAGTTTCTTCATTCTTTCTATTTTTTTAAGAAAAATATGTGAAATTATAGAAATGCCATTAGAAATCCACCTTTTTTAAGTCAAAACCACTTTTAGATCCAGTTTAGGGGACAATTTAACAAACCCGTATACATCAGGTGGTGGTTTGTAAAAAAATAATTTATACGATGATACGCGAAATTCGTTATAGTTCAGATGAAAAAAAGTTTTTTACCTAAGAGAAATGGCTGCCTTTCAAGGATCCGTCGCGGCTCGAAGCTTCGTGCACCCCTGGTCTCTGCCGGCCCGTGACGGGTCTCGTGCCTTGAGGCCTGGAAGATTTCCATTCTTTGTTTGCTCGTGAAGAGCTGTGCGGCGCGGGGTTCTCGTGAGCCTGGTTCTCGTGAGCGACTGGTCTCGCGACGTGCCCAAGGCCTGGAGGTTATCCGGTCTTCGCTGCGGCTCCTCGTCCTCGTGCGTGCTCAATTCACATCAGTGGGCCCCCAAAAGAATATCAACCAGTTCCGAAATCAAAACGGTCTTGATCGGAACTCCTAGCCCGAATTATGATTCCATGAAGCGCAAAGAAGCTCATCAAATTGGCGAGAAAAATGGCAGGGACTTGCAGCTCGAGCTCGAGGAAGAAAACATTTTTCATACCCAGGAAAATTAGGGAATCAGCGTACTTAGAAACTGCCGATCGAGGCCATTTATTCACCTACACGAGCGACAGAGTGCGATTCTCGTTCCCCATAGCTTATCACCAGCTTGATTTCCCGAGAGGTGTTCAGAAGGTCCGAAGAAGAATTCGAACTGCCAATCGACGGACCAATCGAATTGCCTTGCGACTAGGGGTGCAAACAAGGCGAGCCGAGTCGAGCAATGGCGTTATCGAGCAGGATTGAGTTTTTTTTTTTTTAGCTGCTCGAGCTCGTCGAGCTCAATTTTTTAGGCTCGAGCTAGACTCGAAATCAAAATGCTCGAGCTCGACTCGAGTTCGGCTCGAAAATTAGATAAAATTACCATGAAGCACCTATGCTAATATATATAATAAGGGGTTTTTTGTCATTAACGTATATCTCGAGCCGCTCGACGAGCCGCTCGACAAGACAAAATATAGGCTCGAGCTCGACTCGAGTTCGGTCAAATTCGAGCTGGAGTCGAGCTTTGACTCGAGCGCTCACGAGCGGCTCGTGAGCCGCTCGACTCGTTTGCAGCCCTACTTGCGACTCGGAGTTCATGAGATAAGTAGATTCTTTGATGCAAAACAAGGCGGCTGGTAGAAGTGGAGAAAGCATTGTTACTGTCAATGGCGGATTTTAGATGTTCATCTTTTTATTGTTTGCATCACCTTTTCAAACAAGTCAGCGTAGGATTTTTTTTTTGTGGATTGCTATTTA